TTTTTTTTTTTTTTTTTTTTTTTTTTTTTTATAAATTAATTTTTTTTATTGAAATTTAAATTTTTTGAATTTTTATTTTTCATTTTTATTCCCCCCCCCCTATTGTGTCCCATTAAAATTAGACTTCACTCAAATTCATAACAATTACAACATCTCCTTATGTGACATTAGTACCGTAGAATCATTCGCGTTATCTATTTCCTCTCATGTATTTTTTTTTTTTGTCTCGAGTCCTATAAGAACTACAAGCAAAATCACAAGAAAAAATGTCTTATTTATAGTCTTTGTCTCATGTGTCTTCTTATGTGTATGGCTATTTTAGAAAAACTACCAAATCCATCAAGACACATGTAATATTCGCAGATTTATCTCTCCAGTATGTCTTCTTGTGTGTTGAGTGAAATTATATTTAGTACCAAGCAAAAAAGCGGCTGAATAAATGTCACATATATAATATGGTTCCTCGCTAAAAAAAAAAAGGTTTAACAACAACAACAACAACACTGTCATTACATCCTATCAATTCTCATTTATCCTGTGATTAAATCCTGTCAAATTCGTATATATTTATCATGTCATTACATCTTGTCAACTTTATATCCAGTTTCTAAAGCTGGGTGATGTCACAACTTGCTGTACAGGGCAGCTCCCAGTCCGGCAACAGATAAAATGCCAAAGAATCCTGGCACACTCGGGGCATGTCTTTCTAGAAAGCTCATCTCCAATCTCTTGGGTTTCACTTCCTGTCAAAAAAAAAAATAATAAAAAAATAAAAACTTAGACAGATTTGTACAATTCATTCCACAGCTCATAGGTTAGATATTAAAGTTCAGTTTGATGAAAACAATTTGAAGTAATTGAACTTTAAAATGTTTTTCCATATTTAGCTGTTATGTCTGAACGAGCTGTGGGCAACGCAAACCATGTTGAACGTGTAAAATACAGGAAGAGTTGCATAATCCAAGAAACGGAAGCGCACAAAAGAACACATTCATTCCGCACCATGCTGTGTGCCGTGCTGTGTGTGCCGTGCTGTGTGTGCCGTGCTGTGTGTGCCGTGCTGTGTGTGCCGTGCTGTGTGTGCCGTGCTGTGTGTGCCGTGCCGTGTGTGCCGTGCTGTGTGTGCCGTGCTGTGTGTGCCGTGCTGTGTGCCGTCTTGATTTTNCTGTGTGTGCCGTGCTGTGTGTGCCGTGCTGTGTGTGCCGTGCTGTGTGTGCCGTGCTGTGTGTGCCGTGCCGTGTGTGCCGTGCTGTGTGTGCCGTGCTGTGTGTGCCGTGCTGTGTGCCGACTTGATTTTCTTCTAATAAGCATTGGTGAAGATATAGCTCGCAA